AAAAAAAAAAGAGTACAAAAAGTACCAAAAAAAACTTGTAGCTCGAGTTTTTTAAAAAAGTTTATCCAATCAAACAAAACTTATTTGAATACAGGAAGTTTATAACTAATCAAATAAGCTATAAGCTTGCTTATTTGTCTACCAAACATAACCTTAAACTCTTTACATCATCCCAAACAATACCATAAAAAATAATGAGATACTAAGAACAACTATAATGTATGTTTGAAAAAGCCAATCAAAATAAAGCATAGCAATCCAGAGAACTCCAGCTATTAACCCAAACTTTTCAGTCTCATGAGAAACAGCTTTACTAATTAGGAAGAAATCATTGATATCATCTTCTCACGACAGCGTTCGAAATCAAACTCAAACCAAAAGAACCAAAATATTAAAAAAAGAATGAACATAAAATAACACAAATTAATCAAAGAATGTAAAATCTAGAGGCCCTGGTCAATAAGGTAGTCCCCCATCTTCTCGACGACCATATTACACTGGCCGGGTGTCATTGGTTCTTCATAGATGCCAAAAATGAGAGCTTGGCCTGTTTTCTTAACAGTTACACCTCCAGAAGCCTGCAATGGGGGAAAAAGAATAAAAATAGAAAAAACGAAAGAAGGATGAAAATACTTTGTTTCAACAAACAACGAAAATATAACACAAATGTTTAAAGCAGAAGTGAAGTTTAAAGCGAGAAATTCGGAGATATGAAGTTGCAAAAGTGCTAATCACATTCTGATATTATAAATTATACATCTGAAGATAATCACAATCTTTCAATGTTTGTTATCGGACCTTTTCACCAAAGGGCTCATGTAATATTCTCAAAAACCTCAAAGTGGCTATGATAAAGTTATCCAAATGCCGTACACTTTACACCCAATCCAAAAAGGAAAAGCATTTGACATTGTCGACTTATCCCAGCTGTTTTGTTTAGGATACAGATAAAATTGGTTTGAACATGGCCAGCTAATACACAATAGAAAGTTCTATCATTAATTCCATCACCCGAAAAATATAATGATTTCTCAGGTTAAGAAGAAAGTAGTGCAGTGCAATACAGAGGAAAAGCACAAAGCATATAATTCAAAAATCTTCAAAAGTTACCAGAGCTAATGTTAACTGAAAAATATAAGAAGTTCACGAGATTATTGATGATCGCAAGGTCAAAAGATACTACGAATTGTCTGTATAACGCTTCACACATACCACTGAGAACAGTACTCATATTCTTCATCAAGAATTATTTAAGGCACCTAGTAATACACATAGCATAATAACATCGAATACTTTAGGCAATTGTGGATGTAACCTATTTTTTTATTTTATCATACCTATGCAATAGAGTTAGATAATATGTGTGATGTCCAATCTTGAAAAAGAGAGGTGTAATAGTAAGTTCACCTTCTTTCCACGAATTACGGAACCGGGTTCTCCTTGGATAACCATATATTTTGTGCTTCCAAGGAATAATCCAGTTGGAGCAAGGAATCCGGGTTCGTCAAAATCCTTCACAATGTTAGCAATCTCTTGCGGAGTGAACTGCATAATGTGTAAATTCATCAAACACTGAGAACACAAGGATATGTTTCATCATGATACATGAGTAGTATACGGGCATTTATAAGCACAACTCATAAATCTATCAATGGAAGATATTGATAGACAAAATTCGAAGATAAACACAAACACACACACACACACACACACAGAGAGAGAGAGAGAGAGAGAGAGAGAGAGAGAGAGAAATTGTGAAGCAATCACACAAGGAGCACAAAATCAAATAGAAATTCCCAGGATTTTGAAAATCAAACTTCACTCAAGAACATGATATAAACAAAGTACAACTAAAGATGAATCCAACGGTGTGTCATCACTTATTCCAAAAGCCACATCCAAAGTTGAATCAAAGAATGACAATTATGTAAAATGTTGTCATCATCGTCGTCAACGATGCTTAAATGAATCAATATCATTGTTAGATTAGAAAAACGACTCCATCACACGAACAAACCCCAAATCTCAGGAAAAAAAAAAAATCTTTAGAAATTTACGTGAAATCCATAGATCAAATCGGATCAAATGGCGATAACAAAAACAAAAGGAGACAGGGCAGAGATCAAACCCTTGGGAAGGAAGCGCTCTGAGCCCAGACGTTGCCGTCGATGCCGATGATGGCGGCGGCGGCGAGATGAACGCCTTCGACCTCACACATCAGGTGATCGTCGACGTACGACTGCCACGACATGGTTGCCGGCGGTGACTCTTTTTCTTCTACTTCTTCTTTATCCTCTTTGTATCGCGAACAAAAATGCTCCTCGCACAGTCGCACTAGAGGCGTTCGTGAGTTTGTTTGGGTGAAAGAGTGTATTTGGGGTATAAATAGTGAGGGAAAAGGGAAAACTTGAGAGGTGGCCAAGTGGGGGCTCGACCATAAGCCATGGCTGCCCGAATTTGATGGGTCCATTTTTCCATGAATGAGAACTAACCATGATGATGTCACGTGGAGCCAATAGTGATGTCACAGGTTGCCACCTCGATCCCGGTATTCTGGGCCGCCCGTGGACCACCTTGTGGGCCACTAGTGCTAACCGACCCCGTAGACATTGTATCGATCGATCAACTTCTTATCATTGAATATCAATTATCATTACACACCCATACATCGATCATTGTATTGAGTACTTGGTATCGAGAAAATCGAGCCAAAACAGAAAAATTCATAGAATGTTTCATTCAATGTTGTAGTGAGCCGAGTTGTATAATTCAATGTTGTTTGATTTGGTTATTTTAGCGTGCAAAAGTTTTAGTTTAATCTTTATATTTGGTGTCTAGCGATTTATATTTTTCTCTTCACAAGCTCAGTTTTTTCCCTTTCATGTCGTTTCGCATAAATTGAACCCAAATTCATACAAAAATCAAGCCGAACCATGCAGATCTATGCAATTCAGTTATATTATATCTTAGACTTCGTGATGAAAATTTTTGTTTGACTTTTTATGATGCAGTACGAATTAGTTAGAGCATCGTAGAAATTTCAAATTTTCAAATTTTCCGGTTCGTTGCAGTTGTGGACTAAACAACATGCGGGCGTCAACCGAGACTTCTATAACATGCATAAGTCTCTTTGATTTAATTTTGACCTGAAATATGAAATTTACCTTGTGAAAGAGTGTACAAAATGAGAACTTACATTCTACATTGCCCCAAAACACCAAACGAACCCATTGGGTTCAACCAGACGAAGAAAACCCGGCGTATTACATGAGGACAAGTTTATGGATACAAAAAGATTTAGAGAACTTTTGAGGGACTAAGATGTAATTACAATAATGGTGTGTCGTCTTTTTGGATCTCCTCATAACCTCCTGAAAACAGTGTTAATCATCTGCTTCAAATTAACACATCCCAAAATCTCCATACCTTGAAGATTCACACCACTGAACAAATTCTCTGCATATTTTGGGACAATACACTTCTTGTATCCCAGCTTCGCAAGTGTGTTCACTCGTTTTTCCATTTGAGGCACCTATAATAAGCGAGAGAAAAAGAAATGAAAAAAAGAAGTGTTCAAATAAATTTTTTTTTAAAAAAAAAATCAAGCAAAAATAAAGGGGTTTAAACGTGCATTTGTTGCGTTTAGGAAAGGATTCAGACAATTACATACCATGCGAAGTTCACCACTAAGATCAATTTCTGCAATGAATGCTATGCCATAGGGTATGGGGAATTCCAAGAAGCTGAAAAGAATGAAAATTACTCATTTTTCTAGCTTAGCTGCATCAAGTAATCTAATCAAGAAACTTGTCAGAAAGATGCCTATATTGGAATATTATGATGCAAATATCTGCATTTACACCGTGCAATATATGACCAGCTCAAGAAAAGGGAAAATCGCCATGCCTGCTACAAATTGCAGCTGCTATAGCTAGATCTCCAGCCGTCTCGGTCAGGCTAAACCCACTGACAACGTTAAGAAAAATGGCCTACAAATCAAGAAAATGGAAATTTCGACAATAGGATATAAGATAAACATTTTCCAGCAGGGAGAATAGGATTCAAGATTCAAAGGTATGGCAGAACAGAACAATCAGTCAGATATTTATTGGTTCTTTTTTTGTATTTTTTTTTTTCATTTTTGGCTATTATCCCAGCATGCCCACTAATTAAAGCTACATGTTGGTATTTGTGTTTTTTTTTTTTTTTTNNNTTTTTAAATGCAAAAATAAAGGTAAATTTGCAGTTGCATGACATTTAATTACTACTAATTGTTTTCCGATTCAAGTACACAAATAGTACTCTGAGCTTGTTTGATTCGACGGATATTAAGTTTGATTTGGTTGCCAACTAAATCGGGGGGAAAAAATAAATGAAAATAAAAAAGAAAAACAGAACAGACAACATGAACATTAGAATGTAAACAAAACAACTGAAATTAAAAAAATTGTATGTACATAATTACATTATCCTGTAGCTTAAGACCCGCTTGCTTCGTAATAACCTGTAGAAAGGAATGTGGAGAGATCATATCCCAAAAGAAATTCTGTTTGAGTTATTAGAGATATTGAAAGTGTGGTAGAAAAATATTGTTCTTAAAAACATCATGCATGATCTAAAAAAGCTTTACATTTTATCTTTTCATCTTTCTTCTGCAAAACCAATTCCCCTCAAAGCAACTGAATCACAGCATACACAGCTCGACTCACCAGCATTAAGTAAGTTATAGAAAATGAGTAGAATCACTCACAGAAATAATCATATCAGCTCTGCTACCTTGAATACCATTCCACTGCCTCAAGGCAGATGAGCCAGCCACACACAGTGCCTACAGGAAAATTAAAACAAGAAATCTAAAACTAAAAGAAAAACTCAATTTTAATAGATTTTATGTACAGTTACAAGCATATATACTAAACCGGTTAACTCTAAGTTACTCAATTTCAGGTGCACGACATTCAATACGTAAATGAGCAGATCGAGTAAAAAGACCACAGGACGTCCATGAACATTTGATATCTAACTTTGAGACAACATAACTAGATGAAAAAGGGTACCTGAACTTCAATGAGAAATGCTCGTGATCCATCCATAACCACAGCCACAGCCAACCCGGCCAGATAATCTGAATTAGAGCGCTGCTCACCTAAGAACATCTCGCTTGGATTAGAAACTCCTTGCAATCCTGACTCCGACATTTTGAAAACACCAAGCTGAAAATAATAAATCAGGAAATAAAAAATAAATACTGATACCTTGTTAAGATAAAGATGAAAGAAATTAAGAACTAACATGCAGCTAAAGATCGCTATACCAAAAGTCATAAAGTCAAACATTGTTCTTAACATTCTAGTAAGACTCAAGATTCAATCCAAGAGATCATTGTTAGCAACTTTCCGATTTGTCATGCTTTTGGCATTGGTTCACGATAGTTATTTTATATTTGTGTTGTTTGGTTACATCCTGAGATTTATTAAGAAAGCACTAGTACACCATCACATATAGAAACCCTCATGATAATCACCATTAAGAACCTACAAAATATAATATTCACAACTCGTACTTTACGTCTGAATTAATATGGGAGCTAATAATGATGGCCCCCTAATCGAGGGGCGACTAAAATAGAATACCTCATCCGTGGAGCCGAACCGATTCTTCACTGATCGAAGCAATCGATGAGATGAAAGTTTCTCCCCCTGACATTATTCATGATCAGTGGCATTAGTATACCGTAAATAAAGGACATCACACACATATATTAACTCCAAATAATTCTGCATGGTGGACAGAAAGGAACCAGTTCTATACAAAATTGATACATTTTATGATCTACGAGCAATTACCTCTAATATACTTACATCAACAATATGATTGGAAATTTGGTGTAAGCCAATTGATTATATGCTACATGGATGCCCGGAAGAAAAGCACTAAACTAAAGGCTCATATCAGCTTAAGAATGTCCAGATTAATGGACAAGGAAACTGCTATGGTTATTAACATTAAATTTAGATGGTTTCAATGTCCAGACTAAAGGCTCATATCAGCTTATTAACACTAAACTATGATTTCAATTTGGGACTAAAAGGCTTTGTTGTTATTGTTGTTGTTGTTGGTTTCAATTTGCAAAAACAATATCCACGCAAAATTAATATGAAACTGATTTCAGAAATCTCTGTAATAAAGATGAGATCACATATATATGGGACAATTTTATGAGATATCACCAAACAATATGGCAGTCATTCAGTCAATAAGAAGTGACTGATTGAGCAATAATATCCAATTAGATACCAACTTCCATATATAAAACAACATCCACAATGTGCTCGAGAAGACGTGGCCCAGCTATTTCTCCAGATTTGGTCACATGCCCAATCTACAGCGAGGAGAAAAAAAGAAAGATTAGAATCATCGATAATTGATCACACTATGACACTGCAAACATAACTTGACTACAAACAACAATAGGGTTCAAACTACTTTTCAAATTTGGACCCACCAAAAGTACAGGGATATTCGTCTTCTTCGCAAACCTTAGTAATGTTGAAGTGCATTCTTTCACCTGTCACATGTCGACTTAAAGAGTCACAAATTATAATCCTATGCATCTTAAAAATCAGTAACGTCTACAAGTTAAAATACTGAATGCCGAATTGCCTACCGTGATGTAAGAATATGAATAACTACACATGCAGAAAAGGAATTAAAAACAAAAAAAAAAACAAAACAAAACAAATATGTACCTGATAGAGATGCAAGAATGGAAGGATATCGATCTTAGAATATTTTATGCTCATTTTAGGGAATCTATTTTTGATCTTATGGACTTTCACTGCTTTCTTAATCCTTATGTTATTACTTTCTTAACCCTTATATTTCTTTTTACTGTTTATATTAGCTATAGTTTAGTATGTAAGACAGGGTTCTCAATATGATATTATGGAGAGTTTTATATTGAAATAGCTTTGGCCATTGGGCAAGTTATACTTGCTAGGCAGATGTCTGATGTAGAAGTTCATAGCTGTTCACCCCTACTCGTACGTATTTTCTTTTTCCCCATACTTTACTCCTAACAGTACCAATAAAATAATTAGTAATCAACACAGAAAGAAAACAATGTTCCTAATAACAGCACTACAACAGAATCAACTTCTGTTTCATCTTCATGAACCTATTAAAGACTTTTTAGGAGGTTAAACTAGAATAAGAGAAAATACAGAACCTGCGTAGAACCTCCGGCGCTTCCAGTCACTCCATTTAAATAGACGGTCTGAATGGAATCAATGATTAAAGCCTTTGGGGAGAGAGGCTGAGCCTGTTCTAGAATATCCTGTTGAGAAAAGCAGCGACTGGACAAATAAATAATTAAATATGTACAACAAAAATTATAACCAATAAACTATATCATTAACAAAAGACCTCCATTTCCTGACAAAGAAATTTAGAACTACTTAGGAAACTCTTAGTTAGTCACACACAAATCAGCCTCAGACGGGGAGCATGAATCTCTGTCTAGCAATTCAGATAAATAGATAAACCAGAAGAAAGCTAAGACCCTAATAATTGCACCAACTTGTCCGGATAAAAAAGGAACAATATATTTCTATTTTGCTTCACAACTCATTTGTGGCATAGCGACTTGAATAAAAACGGATAGACATGTTTTATGCTTGGAGTCTCATACTTCCTCGCTCCATGAAACTTTTCATGGAAAATGAATTCGGCTTCAGCATATTTCTAATCACTTTTGCTTATTATTAAGCTCACATAGTCACATCTTCCAAACCGATCAAGTGAGCTGTCATAGTATATTCATCGTATTTCACAGGTGTTGATAGTACAACTGCTTGTTCTACACCCTTTGCATAGATTCTATAAATATCATTTTCTCCCATTTTTGTATCACTACAGCGAAAAAGCTTGTAAAAAGAGTTTGTGCATTACAACAAAACTCTCTATGTAAGAGCTCACAGGGACAAAGAACAGATTTACAGAATCTTCTTTTAATGTATTTCATGTTCTTTATCCAATAGTTGTTTAAGATTATTTCGACTAATGTGATGGCATAAAATTCTTTGGATTTAAGGTCGCTTGATAACAGCATTCTGAGGTCAGGAAACTGTTGCCGCTACTTTAAAACACATGTCCTAATGAAAATTATCATGACTGAAGAAGTGGCATAACAAAGTCAAGACAACAAACATTTCTTTCTTGTGGAGAAACAACTGACACTTATAATCTTCAGAAATACGTAAGCGCTAGGGTTACCTCAATATCTGTATTTGAATGCAGAAAAAGCTCTTCTGTCCGGATATGAAGACGGTCAGCTCTATTTGCAATTTGCTCAACACTCTACCAATAAAAGAAAAAAAAAAAAAAAAGTTAATTGTAAACATAAAAAGAACTAGTCCGCTATGTTATATCTTCATTATAGCATAGGGGAAAACTTGCAAGATGCTGGGCTGAAGGTAAATAGGAATATAATATATCCACAGCAGTTTAAAAGTTGGGCAGCATGTCTGCAAACTCTAGAGATATAAACATTTGATTTTTCCAAGTCTTACAAGCAACATCTACAATGTCAAAATATATACCTCTTCCCCAGATACATATAAAACTCGAGATGGAACATCTGCATCATCCCCTTCTCCTATCAATGCAGCAATCTACCACTCAGAAGTAAAATCTGATGTTAAATATATACCATAGGAAATTACTAAGTATCATTGAAAAGTATCATATGAGTAAGCAAGCATCACTACCATGAACAATATCTGATGTTAAATATATACACAAAGTAAATTACCAAGTATCATTGAAACAGTATCAAGTGAGTAAGCAAGCATCACTACCATGAACAATATTAATACCTGCAACAATAGTGTGCTTTTACCCACCCCAGGATCTCCACCCACTAACACTAGAGAACCTGCGAGACAAATACTTGTCAAATTTTCAAAGTACACCTAAATAAGGAGAGAAACTTAGGGAAAACATGAAGCAAGGTAAGGGAAACCGAGAATCAAAATAAAGTGGCATTTGAAAGATCATCCCAATATATGGATGGCGTTCACTTAGAACTTATTCAAACATAATTTATGATGTAAAGAAAATCCATATAACAATATAAGCTTGCTAGATTAACCTCAAAATGTAATTACAAAGAACTCCTAATCGGAAAAGAAAATGGAATACCTGGGACCAATCCGCCGCCGAGAACCCTCTCTACTTCAGCTCCAAATACTCCGTGCCTATTCACAATATAAGAGACCAAACCTATTAAGCCCCTAGACAACTATATCACTATCTGTAACCTAATCAATGGAATATAAAGCAAGTACTAATTAATATATCTACCATAATCAACATTCTATAATGATGGAAAATCCAACCAATGTGCAACTACACTAAACTAACACCAATATCCTAAAAGTATAATAAAAGGAAAATTATCTCTACTCACAAAGGAATACGCCAATTTGACTCCTCAATCCGATTAGACATATCAGACAACCGAATAGGAGCCGCCTCCTTTGGCAGCCACGACCTTTCCAGGTTTTCCGGCACCGGAGCCCCAGTCCCTTTCTTCTCCAGGGCGCTCTCGACTGTGTACCGTTTCATGGTGCCTGTCGTCCCACATTCCCTGCACGAGCCCCACCACTGCCCATCCGAGTACCCACAGCTCTCACAGACAAAGACGCTTCGAATCTTCCCCTTCTTCCTCACGCTGCTGTTGACACTGCTGCTCCCGACGACATCTCGGTAGACTCGGCTGCTCACCTCAATACTCGAGGAGCGACTGACAGGTTCGAGTTCCTGGCTGGCGCCACTGGATTCTCTCTTGGTGACCACGCGGCCTGTGGTGGGGTCGTAGACTGTTTCAACGGCAGGGGTCTGCCGGGAAGTCGGGTCAGACGGCGGCGTCCGCGTCGAGCCCGGAAAGGCCGACCAGACGGACGCGGTGGTTTCATCGGCGGCCGTGGGGGAGGAGGGGAGCCGGCGGTTGAGAGTGGAGTGGAATTTCTTGGGCTGCTGGGGGTAGTTACGAGCTTTGCAGCAGGTGACGGCTTGGGCGGTGAGGGTTCGGAGGTAAGGCGATCGGAAGGCACGCATGTCCGGAGCTTGTAGCATCGGACGGGGAGAAAGTACCTGGTTGAGTGTAAGCTCAAATTGGGGGATTAGGGTTTCTTTCTTGTGGAGGGTTTATGCGGGAAAACTCTGAAAATGCTTTATCTACACTACACAAAAGTAGGAAAAAAATTTTAAAGGTTTTGGTTAATTGTTGAATCAAATAATTATTTCTAAAAATTTTTAAATTATTTTTTTATTATATAAATGAACATAAAAGTAACAAAAATAAATATTTTATATATAAATTTTATACATCAAAGTGTTAGATAATTTTGCATCTTATTAGAGGTATGCAAAGTTCAATTCGAGTGGAATTTTGAAATCATATGCATTGTGAAACTTTCGGCTCTACCAATCCAACAATACCCTCAATTTTCAACATACAAAATCTTGAAGATCACTATTTGAAATATTCCAGTAAACACAATTTGAATATTTTTTTTCATAACATACATTATAACAACATAATCACCCCTGCAGATCAAACATTAACGAAGGACACACTACAGTTCCAAAGAGTCGGGAGCAACATACAAAATACCGGATGGAGAAAACAAGCATACACAACTCTTATAATTCGCTAACAAATTAATTTTCCAAGAACTCGTGAAGTTTTTTGCTTGTAGAATCAAACAGTCTAAAGGTCAAAATTTCATTCTTTTCGGTGGGCCTTGATCGATGATTGGGTCCACAGGCGGCAAGGCCTCTGTTTGTTGGGTGTCGGAGCTTTTATCCGCTTCGGCAGTCGGAGGGGCATAGCCATCCGGAAAAGGAGGCGGCGGTGGGGCTGGCGGCAGCTGTGAAAAAATATCGAAACTAACATAATTGAAAAAAACTTCGGGGGTTTTTCAAAACTACTACAAGTACTCCCTCACAATCATAATATTGAAAGATAAATAGGGCACTATTTGAAGAAAAAATTGCAATGTTAGTCTTATACATTATGAGCTACAACTTTTTGGTCCCCTTCGAATTGCTGTTTTGAATTTCGTCCCTTAAATTTGCAATAAATAAGGTTATAAAAAGGTCCTTCTCGCAACAACAAGGTCCCTTCCGAATTTGCAAAAAGGTTGCAATTTCGCCCCTTATGTATGCTCGGGGACCTTGTTGTAAGGGGACGAAAGAATTAGGATAGTGAAACATACAACACATAAAATTGCAAATTTTCTCCTAACAAAATTAAGCTAGAGTTAAGGGAAATTTTCCTCAACAACTTTTAAAAGAAACATTGATCCACACAAATTCCAACTTCCGTGGTGGCAAAGAAGAAATTGAATTGAAGCCAAGTGATATCAAGAGAGTCTCTATCCAAAGATTCCAGATGTGAGAAGTAAAAGCTCGGTTATTCTTTCCACATGAATATACCTGACATGGTCTATAATTCAGGAAATGGTCTATTTTATTAATTTATTTATTACTATTATTCAGTTCTGGCCAAATCAAAGGAGTATTTGCCCAGAAAAGAAAAAAAAAAGTCTTATGCACTGTACTTCATGACTAGTTTTACAGTCCCAGGAAAAACAAGTCTTATTCAGTTCACCATTTAGTATATTCATGTTAAGAGTAGCGTCAAAATTTCTTAGTCCCTTTACTGTCCTTCATGACTACCTTTCTAGAACATGACATGGCAGATATATAAGGATTGGACTGATTGGCAGTTTGAGAGAAGCAAAAATATGGCATACCTTGCGTTGGAGTGATGCAAGAATATGGTCCAGCCGCTTAATTTCCTTAATGTCAATGGTCTCTTTGGCAGCTTTGGTTTCAGAGGATTTACTCTCGTTTTCAGAATCAACTGTCATTTATACAATATATGCATTATTGTATTAAGTAATAATAGATGCAATGCATGAAGCTTGAGCAAGAAATAACTGGACGATTTTCAGAAAATAAAAGAACTTATTTATGCTATTGGCTATCAAACTCAACCAATGCTCTTGATTAAAAGATTAAAGGCGGTATTTCACTAAAATTTTGAGGCACAATGGTAGATTCACTTTGCATCACCACTTGTATTTCTTATGAAGTGAAGAAAAATACCATATCCAATTTTCTCCAACTTTGATGCTGCAGTATTAAAAGACTTTGATATATGGTACAGAGCACGTCCCTGACAAAAAAAAGCAAGAAGGTTCCCATTAAACAAGCAATTGCAGGACTTTTCAGTGTTACACATACCATCTAGAGTCTGCCAAGAAAGGGATAATAAATCAGTTCCATCATAATACTTATCCTAAACTAAGAAAAGTAAATTATCCCGTATTCTCAATCCTTCGTATAATCACATTTTTCATAAATTATAAATTAGCAAATGTCACCAGAAAAAGTAAGCAGACCGAACAATTCAGTATTAGCCAAAAAACAAATAATTCGATATCCTATGAAATTAAAACCCTAATAAGTGAACAGTGGTAATCAGACTACAAACTACATATAGGACTCAAGGAAATGAAGAATGTTAGAGAAACTAAATCACACCACACGGTAAACAATAAGCCAACTTGCAGCAATTGCACCTAAGATGCAAACATTCAAAAACAAACCGTATGAACCTCAATCACCAAGAAATCATCCAAACACAATACAACCACATAGATGCAAAACTGTGGAGGTAGGAGCCAGATATTACCATCAATTACAAAAAAGAAAAGCAAAACACGCACACACACACACAGAAGAGGGTGAAGGCGCACTAACAACTCGAGATGCAAACACATTGCAAAGCTGAGGCGCTTGGTATATTGATCCATCCAAAATGTAATAAGTTAGCGTGGGTGTCACTTTCTCAGGGCCGTCCCTCTTTTGCTTCCTAAAGACAAACAGATGCGGCTCCAACACTTCACTCAACATATACTCTGTTCCGGTCATCTTCCTTCATGGACATATAGTAACTCATTACATATCCATCATATTTCAATTCGACAGATCATATATGTACACAAACTTAATTTTAGCAAAATTCCACCTTTCATAAGCAAGCAACGCATAAATAATTTAAAAAGATAAATGCTCCATTTCCAGTAACTGGGCTCAATTATACAATCAAAAGCTAAAACTAACAGAATTATTTCAAAAAACAATATTTAACACAATTTCTTGTCATTATACAAGAAAAATTTATGCAACACAAACCATTGCTTAACTAACAGATTACGCCATTGAGATTGAGAAGAAAAAACAAAATAATAATCAAATTTGCTGAGAAAGAGTACAATTGCGAATATACGCACAAAAGTCACAAACTTACGAAAGCTGTGATATATCGAGGGGGTGAATAGCGCGGAGGCGAAGCTGCTCATTATTACACGAGTAATCGTAAAACGGAGACAAGGCAAAATAATCGAAAACTAGGTTTCGATCGAGTGGATATGTGTTTAGCCATAGCTGGTCCCGGAAGCTGATTCCAGTCATGTCAGTTCCGGGAGGCGGTGGAGCTGGTGCTGGAGGCGTGATGCCGTCCATGGCCGGATTTGCGCCGGCGGCAGGTGGGATCATCGGCGTTGTTGCCATTGCTGGAAGAGTTATTGTGATTGGGACTGAAAAGTAAATCGGGGTGCACTAAAATGTAAAATAAAATAAAATGGAACCATAAATAAAATCGCAAATCATGATATGACCTCAAATGTTCTAAAATTTATGAAAATGTAACCATGATTTGTTCAACTAATTGCTGTTTAGTAGTACAAGTAAATCATAACACTTGAAAAATCGAAACCGAAGTAGCCCGCCAAAACCCGCTAATTGGCGGGGTGGGGCGGGGCGGGCTGGCCCGCCAAGACAAAATGCTGGCCCAACCCGCCCCCACCTCGGGCCGCGGGTTTGGAAGGCCAGGCCCGCCAATTTTTTCTTATTTTTTTTTAACAAAAGGCTGATTATTTTCAGCAAAATTGGTGAGAACAAAAGTTGCCCCAAAAAATGTAACCGAGTCGCATAACACCACCAATTCACCATTCACCGAATAAGAAAAAAAAAAAATTTGACGAAAGATACAAAATAAAAATACCAAGGAAACTCACGGCCGAGACCGAAGGTGGAGGGCGGACGTCGAGGACCTCCGACGAGGGCTGAGGTCTCACGGCAAGCTCGCGGCCGAGGTTCCGACGGCGGAGCACAGCGGGCGACGCGCGAGCAGGAGCGATTTGTGTTAAATTAGAGCAATTGAGATTTGTGCGGAGATGGGAATTGACGAATGAAAATATGAACATGAGAGGAGGAAATTGCCTGCGAATCGAGGGTTTGGTCTTTAGTATTTAATTTTAATTTTTTTTTTATTATAATTAACTAGGCCCGCTCTCTAGCGGGCCTAGAAAATCCCGGCCCACTCAGTCCTTTTTGCGGGATGGGGCGGGTTGGCCCGCGAGCTGCGGGCCAAATTAAAAGCTCTATCTGTTAACATATTTCGGCTTTGGTCATGATTATAAATTATATGTTAACATATTTAAGTTCGAATTGTAAAAGCTCAATCTCGACAGGTTTATACATTTAAACAAACTAAAATCAAATAGTTAATCAAACTTGTCGATCAAATAACTAGAGTAAAAAATGTTTGCAATCAACTTTGCACAAGTTTTTTTTTTAAAGAAATGAGGACAAATTAAATATTGAAGACGAATTCAACAAAAACCGAACGTAAATGTTTAACATACTGTGCAATGAGACAAACCCAATAAAATAACCTGCGTGAGAAGTTTGTGTCAAACTTGATTACCCAACTCATTTGTATTTGTCAAGTCAACCACTAAGATTTTAAAAGGCAAGAAAGTGTCGAACCACATTATAAATCAATTGGTAAAAATCTAGTAAGAGAACAATTGTCATTTGAAAATAAATGATAGTATTATTTTCTCTCACTACGATCATCACTTATCTACCATTGTTGTCAGATGAATAAATTCGACTTGAATCTTGAAGTATCAAACCTGAAATTAAATGAAGCTAAATAAAAAATTACACCTATTTATAAAATTCTAAAAAAAAAAAAATGAACAATTTTTTTTTATTGACATGGGGCTGGAGCCCACGCTAGTACAAGGATGGCTCCGTCCCTGACACTTGGAGTAGCTTGCTCGAGCTAGACGCCTCGCATATGCCCACTTCTCTGAGACACTTGCAATGAATGAACCTAAATGATGGATCAAAGATTGAGACAAGGTTAAAATTTGTCCACCTTAATGACTTGTTGATATTTTATTTGGCCTTGCCTATTAAAATATTATACGTGAATATGTATTAAATCAATTGTTTTATTTATCTTACTTTTAAGGCCCAAAAATAGACACCACTTGTAATAATAACGGACCGAGAAAAATGTATATAAATATCCCCCGATGATGGACATCATCGGGAGGTTTGAGGGGCTTGCACTTTTCTTTTCTATATCAAAACATAGGTGGTGCCTCATTTTTCTCTCGCTCTCTTATGATCTTAATTTCTTCAACAGAGGGTCATCTTTTTTTATCTTATTCATAAGAAAAATCACCAAAATATTTAAAAAAAATCACTACAATTCAATATTCAAACAATTTCCCAAATACCCCGTGTTTTTGTTGACAATTTCGCATATCAACATGACCATAGTGGGCTGCGGCCCTCTATGTCTTATTTAATGAAATAAAAATTCTACAGCCTTTTTTGATTTAAATTCAATCCATCCAAATATTATTCCCACCCATAAAGAACTTTATATATTTTATAACACAACAGTTATCTCATATTTATTCAATATTTTTTTGGCTCAAATAATTAAGCGATGACATAAAAACCGGTACAAATGTTTTGTTTGGTAATCAACGGTTAGCTGTTAGCGGATTGCATTAGCTATTTTGACCAGTCGATTGTGTTAGCTGTATTGACCAGTTGATTGTGTTAGCAGTTTGTAAAAGAGTGTTCGGTAAAATTAGTTATTTTTATTTAGCTGTTAACATGTAAAATTACTTATAAGGACATTGTACTTGTAATTATTTTTACGTAGATATTTATAAAGTAAAACACAAATATTTATGTATTATTTAAATATTAACAAAAAATAAATATGAAATTAAATATATTTAAATTGCGTGTATTATTATTAACAAGACATTTATAATATCAAATATATTTAAATTACACTTTCATATGTATCATAATTAACGTAAAAACAAAAAAAAAAAA